CTCAGTAATGGACTCTTGCTGTTTTTTATTCTTGAGCTGCTGACAAAATTTGGATATGTTCACTCTTGCACAGTAAAAGGCTACTTTTTTTTAAACTTTATTTTATTTGTTTATTTATTTATTTTTATGTGGTGCTGAGGATCAAACCCAGGACCTTGCATGTGCCAGGCAAGCACTGTACCGCTGAGCCATAACCCCAGCCCCGTAAAAGGCTACTTTAACAAGTGATTTCAGCAATTGAGGCACCAATATATCTGATCAGCCATCTTTTTGATTTGTTATTCCTTGTAAATTCAGATATTGTTAGAAAGAGAAATTTGATTTAACCTAAGTGACGTAAGCCGGATTTCATCCAGTAAGAATCTGGTTAAGATAGCCTGATGGCCTTTAGAGCTATGTGAACTAAGATCCCAGGGGCTTATGAGGTAGGTGCTAGCTGCATCTAAGAGTTTACTGAGTGCTTTCATAGACACAGTCATTTGATGCTCAAGCCCTCTTATATAGGGACCTGCTTACTGACCTAGGCCTCAACTCAAGTAAATTTACTATAATTTGGTTTCCTCCTGTATAAACTGTGAGGGAGCGCCAACTACACAGCACCAACTACAGGGGTGTATGTAGACTATCATAAACTAGTATCCTGTTTTATAGCTGAGGAAATAGGCCTGGAGAAGTTCAGGGATTTATCTTCATTGCCAAAAAGTTTACAAGGTCCACCCCAACCTCTCTGGCCCCCAAGTCCTTTTTTTTGGTGGTGTTGGGGTCACTATGAGGTCAGAGTCCAGGCTTTTGAGAATTGGCTTCTCTAATATCATGAATAACTTTAGCAAAACTTTTATTTTGTGAAAGGGAAGAGAGGCTGAAGATAAGACACTTGTTATATTGACGTCATGCTCTGTTTTTACCTAATGTGTTTACTGTGTGCCATAATCCTTGAATTTATGAATTTTTGGCATGTGTAACCAAAGAGACCTGTCAGTTATTGCATCATAAATAATGATATATGTGTAAAATGATATATTAATGGAATTCAGTATAACAATTGGACCTGCTTTCTGGAGTCATGGGAGTCAAGTAATGATTACTTCCAAAATGAAGTTTCATGAAAGAAAGGAGAGAGGTGTGCTTTTAATTCATTAACAGCTATAGAGACAGACTGAAAAGCAAGCAGCTCCTTGATGTATACCAGCCCCAGGATTCTTCCTGTGGAAGCAACACCCTCTATGGACTATCTTATGGACTATCTTATGAACCATTTAGTTCTTGGCCTAACCTTACTAGATAGATATAGTTAGTCTCCATTTTGCAGGAGAGAAAACTAAATGGTTAAGCAACTTGTCCAGAGTTACTGGGAGGAAGATAGTTATCTCCTTGAATGCAAAATTAAGGCAGACCTATCTTTTGAGGATTGTTTCATAGCATGATTCCTTTTTATCACTGTGGTTTCTAATGTTAAACATTCCTCTGGATTTTTAAAACTTATTGCTTATGTTGAAAAGATTGTCTTGATGTATCTTAAATATCATGATCTTGCAGCTGATTAATCCATTAAGTGACTTAATTTGGAATCTACTGTGCTCATAGTTGAAGGTCATAGTGTAGTTATTTTTGAACTTAGGATTTACGGGGCGGGGGGGGGGCTTTACCACTGAGCTACATCCCCAGACCTTTTTATTTTTTATTTTGAGACAAGGTCTCACTAACTTGCTGAGAGTGGCCTTGATTTGCCATCCTCTTGCCTCAGCCTCCTGAGTAGCTGGGATTACAGGTGTGTGTCACCTTGCCTGGATCATAATGTAGTTTTCGTCAGCAAACATCCCCTTCATTCCCTTTTAAAAAAAGCTCAAGCAGGAACTGTTGTTCTGTGATTTGCCCCAAAATATGTTAGCACTTTCAAGATTCTAGACAGTGTTTAAATGGACGTTTGTTTAAAAGGAAAGGTTTTAAAAAGACCAGTGCCTGCTGATTTGCATTAGTGGGTATTTTGCTGATAACTAGTCTGATGTGATGTGGTCTATGAGAAGTTCTCAGAATGTGTGGGATTTAAGCCGTGTGGATTATATGGTCACAACTATAACTGAATGATGGCGCTTTGGGGAAACTTATTGCTTATATTGATGGCAAATTTTTTGCAGTAAGAGGATGGAAAATAAAATAGTAAAGGTTGTGTAGGCAATTCCTATTTCTTTATTAAATTAATACAGTTTATAGCAAAAGAACTAACTTTTCAGATATTTGTGAACTTGGCACTTAGTGCTTATATATTTAGCTGATAGATATTTTTTCCATAAAACCTGTTCCTAAAAACATGTCAGGGGCTTCTCTGGAGGCTGCAGGTGGCAAGACAGGTTTGGCAGTACTGTTTGTGCAGAATGTGCCCTTGGCGCCTGCTCCACCCTTACTATGCTCCATTAGTCTAATTGCATCTTCCCAGGATGCACTTCACCTGGGAGCCTCACTCTCAGCTCTATCACTTATAGCTTCTTCTCAGCAGCACATGAGGATGCATGGGTAGAAGAAGCACAGCTTAGACCAGAATGTGTGGCCTTTTATTCTAGAGGAATCAAAATATTTCACATGTCATTTGTGTATTCTGAATTAGAGAGAGCAAGTACTTTTTTCCTTTTATAAATTGGGGAAATGAGTGGCAAGTTAATAAGTGTGAGATGGATCCAGGACTAATCTCCAGTTCTTATCTAATGTATATCAACTCAGATCATTTCAGGTGGCAGTGATTTTATTTAATCGCACTAGGAAAATCTGGAAAGGGGCAAGCAAGAGAAAAAAATTGTACAAAAGTAAAGGTGTGGTTGTTTGACTACATGGTGATCACTTCTGTTTGTGTTGACTTTTGATAACTTAAGTGGAAAACATGTGGTCTCTATTTAATTCCTATGAATCACAACCTCATTACGTAAAATGTATCACACCTTAAATAACTTGCTAATGAGTAAGCTTAAAATTTATTGAAAAGACCAAGTGAGCAGTTGTTAGATTAGAACTACTAGGCAAACAAATATTCTTTCAAAATTCTGGAGTATTCTTTCAGAATACTAAATTGTTCTTAATATGAGAATGAGTTTATATTTTATTTTTCTTTTGTCTTTCTTTCTTTTTGATGAGGGGAAGGGCCTGGGGGAGTAGTCTCACTTTGTTGCCTTGGCTGTCCTTCAACTCCTGGGCTCAAATGATTATCCTGCCTTAGTCTCCTTATTAGCTGGGACTTTTTAAAAAAAAATGTGATTTAAAAACAAACAAATTGCCTTCACTATAATTTAAATTTTCAAAATATTTTCAGGATACAGAAGCTAATTTAGTAGATTTTTATATTTTGGTAACTCAGTTTCTTCTTTTAAGCAAAGGATTTTTTTCCCCCTGGCAAAACACATTGGTTTGCAAAAATGTAGCATTTATCTTTTTTTTCTGCAGATGAGTAGTCATGGCTGATAATAATAGTGAACTTAGAGGGGAGGGGAGGGGAGGGGAGGGGAGGGGGGATAGTAGAGGATAGGAAAGGCAGCAGAATACAACAGACACTAGTATGGCAATATGTAAATCAGTGGATATGTTACCGAAGTGATTCTGCAATCGGTATACGGGGTAAAAATGGGAGTTCATAACCCACTTGAATGAAAGTGTGAAATATGATATGTCAAGAACTATGTAATGTTTTGAACAACCAACAATAAAAATTAAAAAAAAATAATAGTGAACTTTGTAAATGCTTCCCCTGAGTCAGGCAACTACTATTTAATGTATATTATCTCATTTAGTTCTTGGCCTAACCCTACTAGATAGATATAATTAGTCTCCATTTTGCAGAGAGAAAACTAAATGGTTAAGCAACTTGTGCAGAGCTACTGGGAGGAAGTGTCAGAGCCCGGATTCAGACACTGGTACACAGGTTTCCAGAGCCTGACCTGGCCTCACCCAGGCAGTGGGAGATGTCAGGTTGTGACCTTAAGGAGTGCAGCTCAGCTAAATAAACTTAGACTTCCCTCTGAACTGGCCCATCCATTACCATTGTCTGTTGCTCTTCACTGTTCGCCTGTGTGTCTGAAAGACACTGCCTTTGTGGTAAATCACTGCTTCTGATCTATGTTGATTTGAGGATGTAATTTGCCGAATTATTTCAGTGACTCTGAGGGGCTTTACTGTGATGGAAAGAAGACTTTGACATCTGCTCTTAAGTGGTGGATAGGTGTCTAGGCTAGCTTGGCTCTCTGCTCTCCCCGTGACTAGGCAGTGAGGCCCAGGAGCTTGTTGGAGTGGCTTTCCCCCACTACAACCTTCAGGAGTTTCACTGCTACTTTCCATAGCAAATCCCCTTTCCTGTCCCAAAGACTCCACCTCTAGAGACCAAATTTAGTTATTATTTCTAGAGTTTCACTAGACACATTGGTGTTGGTAATTGCAAGGGGCTGTTATATATAACAGTTCGGTAGGTCTGCTTAAAAATATTTTTTATCTTACCTCTCTTTTTTTTTGTGCTAGGATTTAAAAGTCTTTTTAAGATGTTTCAATAAGAGCTTTTTACACAAATTAGGGCCTCTTCATGAATAGAGTTAAGGAGAATCATCCCTCTGCTCCTCAGCTTTGTAATAAAACTTGAATTTAAAGATGGGGTTGAAATTAATGTGCATATATAGATGATATTTCAAGTTTAGATCTTAATTTTTATGTACTTTTAGATCATCCATAGGGTTTTTAACTTTAAATAGAAAATGTTTAAAATTTAGTTTAGCTTTTAACTTATGTAGTCAGCCAGACTTAGATGATAAGTCCAATAAAATAATTGCAGAGAGTACTTATTGTGTTTTTTTCTGTGTATACTTGTTCATACTTAAATGGATATAATTTCCCATAGTAAACAGATTTTGGTGATATAAGCATGTCCTTTAAATAAAACATTAGATTCATGTTAATTAATCTAATACTGATTTTTGACTAGTGTGTTATCCTTGTTTAACAGACAATTAACACCCAATTCTGTCTTTCAGGAAGTAACAGAGAAGAATTTTGAAACACGGGATTTTCGGGCCTCTCTAGAAAATGGTGTTCTGTTGTGTGAGTAAGTATTTAAAGCATTTAAAAAATAATTCAAAAGCAAATATGTGTGTGCTGGTCATGTATGTGGGTGTGTGCACATGCAGGTACGTGCGTATAGGGGGTGTGTGGGTGTGCATTGGTGTTATGAGATGTTCCTCTTCTCATAGTCCCCATCATCACAGATATGTGTTCTTGGTCACAGGTGAGATTTGATCCCTGCAAATTGACACCCCCATAATAGGAGACAGTAGGAAGGGGTTATCATATCAGTCTCTGTATCTACAGATAGTGTTTCTGAAATGTATATTATTTTCAATTAGTAAACAAGAAAGATTCTATTATTGCTTGTAGGCATGGGTGGTTGAGGAGGAAGACTTATTACATTTCACTGCCTATCACTTACCATGAGTAGTTTAACATGCAGAACTGCCTGGTTTTGAAGTTAACATAAAACTTCTTTTCTTCATCAATAAGTTATGATGATTAGAGCAGTAAATTTTTCTTTCAAGTTTTAAGTGGAGCTATTATATTTCCCCAATCAATTTGAGTCATGGACATTCTCAATTAATAAATGTTATTGAGAACCACATCCCAGGCTGTGGTTACCGTAAGTAAAATAGGCTGGTGCCATGAATGATATTTAGTTTTGGTTCCCCAGTGGATGCATAGTTCTTTTAGCCAAGTATTTGACCTTTGGGGGTAAGGGAAAGGCAGGCCTGTGAGGTGAAAGGATGAAATGTTGGAGGAAGGTACAGGCTGCAGAAGTGAGCAAATAAATTATAAGAATGTACTTGAGTACCCACCCACATTTTTAAAAGCACTTGATAATTCCAACTTAGACGCTTATCACACAGTTATGGAATCAGTCCACAAGTAAGCACTGGGAGTGTATGTACTGGCACTTAGATCATTTTGAATCTCCTTTTGAAGGATGTTGCTTACAGTAAAGATTCAAAGGGTCAGATTCCTTGCTCCATTACTTTTGTACATTTGAACTAGTGACTTCTGTGTACATTTGAACAAGTGACTTAACATTTGAGTCTTATTTTTTCCTCTCTAAAGATCAGGATATCGGACTTGTCTAAATCACAGGGATGTCTGAGTTCAATAACACATATATTGAGGTTTTTGTACATTATCAAGTTTTGTATAAATGCAAGTTATTGTTAGAAAGATGGCCATGTAAAATCTACTCTGTTGACAGGTGTTCAAACTCCATTGTTTTAGAGTATCATTAATTGTTCCATATGAAGTTGCTGATATTTAACCATTTGTGACCTATAGAAGTATATAATGTGCATATATAGATGATATGTGATTTCATCTAATGAGGGACAGGCATTGAAGAAGGGCCATGAATAAAGTTTAAAGAATATTTCTAGTTCTTTTCCAATGTCACATTCAGAATCCTTATTGAATAGTGTTCAGACTTACTTATGTAGGCCACATGGTCGCCCCAGTTGGTCACCAAGGGGAAATTATCTTGATTTGAAAACTGCATGATTTAAATGGGTTCTCATGTGTTCAGCAGATGGAGATGGGAAAATCTCCTAGAAAGAGGCATGTGACCTGCAAACTACCTTAACTCTAAGTATGGATTATTTAGAAGTTTGCAGTAAAAATACTTCACCAATTTTAAGTGCTATAACTCTGGATAGCTGGTGGGTATTTGGAGGAGGTATGCCTGTAAGGTGCAGGATTCTTCTGAGATTGACAAGAGCATATAGCCTGCCGCAGTCCGGCTGCAGCAAAATAACCGGGGGGTGACGAACAACTTGTGTACGTTGATACAGCAGGAGTAGGAGCCGTTTATTGTAGGACAGGAGCGGTATTTATACATTTTACACAGCTTATTTAAATTAGCATAAACTAGATACATCAGTCAACCAATAAGAAATCTCCACACTTAATGGCTCGCTGGAGTTACTTCACAAACCACTCCCTCTGGCATTTTGCCAGGCGCCATCCAGACTTGTTTACAGACCCTAACATTTCTCTGGCAAAATGCCAGGTGCCATCCTGACTTGTTTACAGACTCTAACAATAGCCCAAACAGATGATCTTTGCAAAGAAACCATTTTGTGGGTTATATGCTTCCAGTAATAAACTATTGCTCAGAATATTTCAGGGATTCTACTTTTTGGGCACTGCCTCCATAAATAGATCTTTAACCATTTTTTACTTAAAATTTATGCACCAGCCTGGGTTCTAAATGATTTGAAAAGATTTCCAGAAATTCTACCCCATCTGAAAGAATGAGGATGTTTAAAGTTGATAAAAAACTGCTTTGACCAAGGCAGTACAAGTTAGAATAAACATATAATTTCTATCTTAGCTAATGGTGACAGCAAACATTTGGATGCATGGTTAGAGATATGTTTTTTTTTTTTAATATTTATTTTTTAGGTGTAGATGGACACAACACAAGGCCTTTATTTTTATGTGGTGCTGAGGATCGAACCCGGTCCCGCTCTACTGCTGAGCCACAATCCCAGCCCTATATTGTTGTTTTTAATGAGTCACCTTAATTAAGAAAATTCTAAAAGATCATTCTTAGATTGTTTCCAAATTGGAATAACAACAGTTTGGGGTTTGAGGTATTACCATATAAATGTATCAGTCTGTTTAGTACTGATAATTGTTTAAATATTTTCCCATAGTTAGTTAAGTAAATACTAGGCCATGGCAATCAGTAATTGTGTAGTTTACTGTGGAACATCAAAGTGGTATATAATAAATTCTTCCTTTAAATTGTCAATCACTTTGTTCATAGCCCAGGTCAGTATAAGTGTAGTATTGAAAAAAAGCAAGGTCCAGGTAACTGTATTCTTTTTTTTTTTTAATATATTTATTTTTTAGTTGTAGTTGGACACAGTATCTTTTACTTATTTATTTTTACGTGATGCTGAGGATCAAACCCAGGGCCTCGAATGTGCTAGGCGAACACTCTACTGCTGAGCCACAATCCCAGCCTTGGGTAACTGTATTCTTTATGAATCTATAAATGAAGAAAGTTTAGATGGGTCTCTGAAATGGTGATCAGGGACTGCTGTGTGGCCACATTACCTTCATACAATAGTGACAGAAAACAGCCAGCTGCTCAGAGAGGCCTGGTATTGTAGGCCTGACTTTTAAATTCATTGTGAATATAGTAAGCTGACTTGAAGGTTTTTTGCTCCCCCTGTTAGATATCTCATTTTTTGGCTGAAATATAATTAGAATGTTTTTAAAATCTTGATTTATTTTCTGACAAAAGCCTGACTTCTATTTGGCTTACTGCCAGAACTATATTTCTTGTGAAATGTAGGATCTGTTTGTTGCCTGTTTAGGCTTCCTTGTTCATTATCCCTATTAATGAGGTTTCTTAATGTTTCATTTAGTAATTTCAATAGCTTTTTATCCTTCAGTAGTGCTTTTTTCATATTTAAACTGGTGTTCTGAAATATCAAAGTCAAAAGAGTTGGAGAAGCTTATTATAGCTTTCATCCAACTGGCAGTGGACTGACATTTCAGAGTCTAAATTGGGTATAAACTCTGTGCTGAGGTTTCAGATGAGATGTACATCTGAATAGTGAGGGCAGTTGTATGCATTGTGATCGGCTATTGAAGTTAGTACGTTCATATTAATCACTTTAGTTTCATTTAGTTTGTTTGGCTGTGGAATCTAGTGAGTTGATGGCTAAAGAATATTCCCTGGAAAAAATCCAATATAGTCTAATATTTTACACTTTACCTCGGATACCTGCTCTCTCATGAGGTGGGTACTAACCAGATTTTTTTCCCCTAATTAATAAAAGGATCAACAAGAATTTATTAGATGATTTCAGCTCTTTGTTATAATTTTCTATGAGTTTAATTATTATATTCATTAATCTGTCTATTCTCTCCAGTATTTCTTAATGTTAATTAGGACTGCCTTTATTATATATTTTAAAAAGTATAAAAGATTTGCCACTGCATAAATGTTTACAACCCCGTTTTGCTCTGGTTTCTGGCAGAAGTATTTCTCTTCTCTAAACATATTTGGGTGAAGCCTATCCAGCTTTCGATATCAACTAGTGATTTCCCAATTACTCATGATGGCAATCTTGGAAATACTGGGTGAAAACATTTGTTATTCCTCAGTGAAGTAAGATTTGTCTGAAGATAGTCTGATTGGGTGTGTTACTGGTTAGTCAATCTGTACTTCCCCTTCCTGGAATGGTCCCAAGTTTTTGCCCTGTTTCCTTTGACCATGCACTAGAAGCTTGAACCTTTTGGAACATGTGGCTCACATTATTCAGCAGCTTCTCACGCTGTCACCAGGTCTTTTGAAACTTTGCTTGCCACTTGGAAAGAGTGGAGCAAGATGTTCACCTATTGGTGCGAGAAGTCCTGTTCTATTTATATCTGCCTTGTGACTATCACACTGTTTTTAAAGTACCATAATATTTGATCAAAGATAAATTTAATGGAGAAAGAAAATTATTTACCATTACTGCTATTTACTGTGGGGCACTCAGGTGACTTTTTAAAGGCATTTGGCAACAAAGACAAGTCTGTCACTTGTCATTCATGCAGAGAGAACTCTATCCTTTTTCTTAGAGCTGGAGACTTCTATGCATGGGGTGCCAGGGATGCCAGGGACATGAGTGGACTGTTAGGGCTTCTGTACTTAGCTCCACGGGAGGCCCAGAGACTTTGTATAATGGCAGGGTGTGTATTTTTAGAGCTGTTTCTGGTTTTAGATTTCTAGAGGAGGATAACTGTTCAAACTAGAAGGTAGAAAGCTCAATCCTGTGCTTCCTGAGCTTGGGTGTATTGTTGATAGTGTTTTCTTACCCTAAATAAAAGTTACTAAGAGTAGAGAATACCATGTTTTAGTCATAGTGCCCCTGGGAAGTAAATGAGAACGACAGCTACTAAAAATGAAGGGAGTAATGTATTTGCTGTCTGTGATCCAAACAATTTATATTAAAGTTTCTTAGCAAGAATTTATTATTAAAATATGTGTGTGTGTGTACACACGTGTTTTATAGTATT